GGATCTTCCCGGACCGGGGCACGAACCCGTGTCCCCTGCATCGGCAGGCGGACTCTCAACCACTGCGCCACCAGGGAAGCCCCCATCCTCTTTTTGAATTCCTCTTGCTCCCATAATTCTAAGCGCCTTCCTGTGTTAATTCATTTAATCCTCATAACCCAACGAAGTAGGTAGCATCATTTAGGAAGACAGGTGGGGAAACATTCAGGGAGTCTAAATAACTTGCCCAACCCCACAAAGCCTATAAATAGCAAAGCTGGGATTCCAACTAGGGTGGACTCATAACCATCTCCACTCCGCTTCTTATTCCAGAGCCCGAACCCTCGCCTAACGTTCTGTGTCAAAACCTACGAACGCCTTTTCTACATGGCGGCTCCAAGCCCAGAAGCCATGCGCATCTGGATGGACGTCATCGTGACAGCGGCGGACGAGAACCACGCCCCCTGAGTGAACATACCCTCTCAGGGGGACATCCCAGCGAGGCTCTGCCCCGCACGCGCTGCCTCGAAGCCACGCCCACTGCGGGAAATCCTGGTCCAGCCCCTTTGGAACTCTCCCGGGAATTTTGTGGGCTCGGCGGTTCGGCAGGTCTGAGCTGCGCAGTTCTGGGCTGCAGGTGTCTTCCCGGACCGGAAGCCAGCCGCTGAAGCTCTGCCCTGGGTGGGAGGAAGGTTGCGGGGGCGGGAAGGAACTATTTATTGGTGCTCCTGTGATACTGAATTAAACTTGGAGGAAAAACAGTGGTTACTGCTGAGGTTCCCAGCACAGGCATACGGGGCCCCTCGACCCCTAGGCAGGACATCTGAGTTACGGGTACCTCGGAGACCATGCATCCTTTAGCTGTTCTACCCTTTAGGAATGGAGACCTTCAACCCCAAGGTCATGGCTGGGAGGGGCGGGGGTGTGGGGAGGCATGCGTCTTTAGTCTTGTGGCAATTTTGTTTTTTCAGTTTGTGGGCCCGCCTGCTTCCACCCTTCTGGACGTGACTGGGCTATTGGCAATTTCTAGGAACTCCTAGGCTCCTGCCCTTCAGGCCGCTGTGACTTATGTTATTCCCTCTGCCCTTCCCTTAACCACCTATCTCCTTATTCTTCGCGTCTTAATTGGGATGTCCCCTCCTTCAGGAAGCCCTCCCTGACTCTCTCAGCTGGATCAGGTACCCCCCTTTGAGCCCTCCTGTCCCATTCCTGAACATCGTGGGTCATCACTGGTGATGGACCTATGTCCTGACGGACTGGGAGCTCCCTGAGGGCAGAACCAGGGCTGTCCTGGTCATGGCTGTGTCCCCAGCACCAGAGGGCACATTTCATCCCATGGAGAAAAAAAAAAAAAAAAAAAAAAAGCTATCCTTTCACCTGTGGGTCTTTATGTAATGTTCCCTTTGCTAAGTCACCTTTCCCCACTCCACCCTACTCATCATTTAGGTCATAGCTCAGATGTTTCCTTCTCCAGGAAGCCTTCCCTGATTCTCCTGGCTGAGTCAAATGCTCCCTCTGGGCTTCCCATCCCAGCCCTGATCACTCTGCCTGCTCCTTCCCCATCACGGCTTTGACTACTCTGGGTCATCCGTTTGTTTGATGGGTGTGTTTCCCGTGCTGGGCGGGAGCCCCAGGAGGCAGGGGTTGGGCTATTTCCATCACTACTGAGTCCTTGGCACACAGCAAATGGCCTGTAGGAAAACTAGGTGTTGAGGGAATAAAATGATAAGAAAGACGCTGAGGATGGGGCGATGGTGAACAACAGGCATAGAACTTTTCATCATTTACATCTCACCTAAGGTGTCCCTTCCTTCCGGAAGCTCTCCCTGATCCCTGGTGGGCTTCTGCAGTCCCCTGAGTTCCCCAACTACAGGACCACTCCCTGACCACTCTAGGCTGTCACTGTGTGGTACAGGTCATTTCCTCCCTTAAACCTCTCTGGAACTAGGCACCCAGTCCCTCTGGTTCCCATCTCTTCAGGACCTGGGTGTCCCATCCCAGGATTCCTTAAGGATCCAGATGTGCTCCTGAAACCCCGGAATGCAAACACTCCAACCCCCAGGCCCTTGGGGACCCGAGGTGTTCCTTGGCCTCTACCTCCAGGTGTGAGGCATCTATCTGGATTCTTGGATCATTTCATCCCTCAGCCCCTCTGCAAACTGTCCCCTTACTGGGGCCAGCTTCACGGGCATGTGACTAGTGCAGTTGACAGGTCCCATGTTCAGAAGAGCCCTCTTGGCTTTAATCATCTGTGATTGCCATCTGGAAATTCTTAATTTTGTATTTGAATTTGTGTTTTGTAAGTGAAGTCTGAAGGGTGTGGAGCTTGAGCTGGGGGGACTGGAGCCTCAGCTCAAATGAGGTCCCACACCTGCCATCTCCCACCTCCCCGGAATAGGTTCTGTCTGCCTTCCCCTCCCTGCCTCTGCCCTGTGACTTCGGCCATCCTCCAGCCCCGACAGGGGCCTGAGTGCTCACGGGAAATCCAGGCACTTGTGCCTCTTGGCATCTCAGGTGGGGCACGATGGCGGGCGGCTGGTGGAAGGGGAACCCAGCAACCAGTTTGCTTTAGTTGGGGGGCAGGGTCTCTAGACACCTGTAAGGGTCTGTGCTCGCCCCACCAGTATCCCTGTGCCTGAGGGAACAGGACATTAGACACCGTATGGGGTCAAGAGAGATGCAGGAAGAAAGGAAAGGAGCGTTTCTACTTTAGTATATTTCATGACACTCCTTCCTGCCTTTTGAACCAGGTCTCCATATTTTTATTTTGCACTGAGCCCCGCAAATTATGTAGCCAGCCCGGGCCCTGACCCCACCCCTTCTCTGACACATCCCAGACAGCACATCCCAGAAGGAGTGGGTCTGAGGCAGGCTGGGAACATCACTGGGCTCAGAGCCTGCCCTTCTCCAGGGGACACGAAACCCATAGTGGAAATGGCCCCAGGCTTGTCTGAAGCCCTGGCATGAACCCCAGGGCTGGGGACCTGGTGACTCCACACTGACTCCTCTGTTCATCTCTCTGGGGAACCAATTCTAACCCTCTTTGCAGTGACCCTTGTGGAGGGGAGCTGGGGAGAGTCACAGAGTAGGTTTAAGTACAGGTCCTGTATTTAAACCTCCCTCTGCTCTCTGGTCCTGGGCCAGGTTGGGGGGGGGGGCGGGGGCGGTTGGTGTCAGCACCCGGGATTTGGCAGGCCTGAGCAAGAGGAGACTCTCCACCCTGGGTCCCACTCCCTCCCAAGACACCAGATCTTCTGGTCTGGCCAGTTGGGGTTCCTCCCTGAAACTCTCCCACACGGCTGGGACCTGAAGGGCCTCCTGCTCCTGAGTGCACAATAATAATAGAATTGTTACCCTGCCTCACTCCATCCCTCTGGAGACAGGGGGTTTCAGACCTGTTTGGCAAAGGAGGCAGCTGAAGTTCAGAGAGGGAGATGGAGTTGCTTGAGGTCACACAGCAAGAGGATGGCAGAGGCAGGAGTAACATTTCAGTCTGTCTGACTCCAGCCTTAGTACTTTGTCCACTGCCTCACTCCACCATGACTCGCCTCCCTTTATTATAAAACACACACCTCAGAGGCTCAGAGAGGTGAAGACACTTAGGTGGGTCACACAGCAAACCGTAAGTGAGGCTGGGATTCCAAGGCTGGGAGGCAGGGAGGTGGGGGGAAGTGTTGAATGACTTCACAGCCACTCACTTTCCCTCTCTGAGCTTCAGCATGATGACAAGCAACCCAACCTAGGTGACTGAGGCGCTAGTCATTGTTGGCGATGGGGGTGCCCCATGGGGTCCGGAGAACAGATAAAACCTTTATGAACACAGCCGCTATTTTTCCTGCCATAGGTAAATCTTATCTGTGAGTCAGGAGAAACAAAGCAAGGCTAAAGCTGTAGTTTAAATAATAATATAATATAAATAATACATAATATTGGGTTGGCCAAAAAGTTCATTCGGATTTTTGTAACCTCTTACAGAAAACCCAAACGAACTTTTTGGCCAACCCAATACAAGCAATCACTTATATTAGCTTATATATGTGGATGCTTAGTCATTCTGTGGTTCGCACAGTGTTCTTGTTTGTTCCCGTGTTCAGACATAGAAGGCAGGGGTCCTGATTGTGTCTCACTCCATCGCGGTCACAGTGTGGCCCCATATGTGTTGGTGCAGGGGTGTAACAGAGCACCCAGACATCGCTGTGAGCCACCAGCCAACTCCCAGCCATCAGAGGCTGCTGTTCTCTTACCTGGGAGACTGTCCTGCTCCCTCCCCGGTCTCCTGGCCTTCTCTTGCCCCTTCTACCCTTTTCCTTTTTTTACTGAGGCCACAATGGCACTCCTCCCCACCCCTTTTCTTTTGGTAAGAATAGTGTACCTTCAGTGAAGTGCATAAATATAAAATGTACAGCATACAGCTCGTTGATTCTTAACATGTTTGTAGTTACATGTGTAACTACCACCCAGATGAAGATAGTAGGGGTTCCTTACTATTACTCCGTTGGGGCAATGCCCTCCCCAAAGTAAGCCCTATTTTGATTTCTCTCACCGCTCATTAGCTTTGCCTGTTCTGGAACTTCATAGAAATGGAGTCACATGGTGTCTTCTATTTGCTTAAGGCTTTATGAGCTCAACATAAAGTTGGGTTTTTTTTTTAAGGTTTTTTTTTTTTTGATGTGGACCATTTTTAAAGTCTTTATTGATGTGGGATCTTAGCTCCCCAGCCAGGGATTGAACCTGAACCCCCTGCATTGGAAGGCAAAGTCCTAACCACTGGACTGTCAGGGAACTCCCAACATAAAGTTTTTGAGACTCACGTTGGCACCCGGGCCAGTAGTTGGCCCGTTTTCATTGCTGCATAATTCCCTGGGATTAGTGAATTCATTTCTTGATAAGTTTTTGCATCGTTTGCCAGATTGATAGTTTAAAAAGCAAATCTGATTGTGTCTCGGAGCTGATTTAGACCCCGTGAAACATTCTCCATCTTTCTCAGAATTAATTCAAACCTCTCCTCAGGGCCTGGAATGGCCCCTTTTGCCTCAGTTTCCCCCTCACTCCTGAGCTCCAGGTACAGCAGCTCCAGGTACACTGCTCTCCTCTGTGTTCGAAGGGTCCATGCTGCTTCCAGCCGAGGTCTTTGCACGTGCTGACCCCTCTGCTTTGCAATGTGCTCTGCCCCCATCCCGACCTGCTTCACTGGCTGAACCTCCAAGTCTTTAAGATCGTAGGGCACCTGGATGATTTACATCCTCAGGGACGCTTCATTGACCAGCCCCCACTTTTAGACGCCACACCTCCTTGTAGCTCCCCAGACTTCTTCCTTCGTTGTCCTCGCTGTAAATAACAATTTGTATGATTATTTGATTAATATCTGTCTCCCCCATCAGACTGTGAGCTCTGTGAAGACCAGCACTGGCTCTGTTTAGTCTCCAGCATCACCCAGCCCAAAGCCTGCACTCATTCAGCATTTACTGAGTGAGCCTTATATCCTCTCCCCACCGCCACAAACACACAGACTTTCTCCTGGGAACTGCCAGGGAACCTTGACTCCCGCCCTTTCACTCCTTGGCAGTGGTGGGTGACGCACCCAGGGGCGGGTGTCGCGCCCCACGGTGGAGGCTGATTTGGCCTGGTTGGGCAAGGCCAGGGTTGCCTGGGGCGAGGTTACTCATCCTGGGCTCACGTAAGAGGACCCGGGTTGGGAGGCGGCACACTAGGGTGGAAGCCGAGAGAGCAGGACGGAGCCATGGACCCCGCCAGGAAAGCAGGCTCCCGGGTAGCGATCTGGACAACGGGCTGGCTGCTGCTGCTGCCTCCGCTGCTGCTTCTAGAAGGTGAGTCTGCTGCCGGAAGGGGGCGGAGGGGATAGAGTGGGAGCTCTAGGGAGGGTTCCCCCACCCCATACAGAGCGGGCTTGTGGGAAGGATCTCCCATCCTGGGCAGAGGGGTCGGGGGAGGAGGTGGGCTGCGGGAAGGTTCCCTACCCTGGGCAGAGGGGACTGGGGGAAAATTTCTTCCATCGTAAGCAGACGGGGTGGGGGTGGGGCTGTGGGAAGGGATCCCTCGCCGAGCTGACTTGACTGTGGGTAAAATTCTCCCATCCTGAGTGGAGAACTGTAGGAAGAAGTCCCCCCACCCCCGTCTTTGGCAGGGATCCCCCACCTTGGGCATAAAGGGCTGTGGGAAAGATGCTCCCACTGCAGGCATAGGACGTTTGAAGGAAAGGGACACAGTGTATCCCCTGGCCTCAGACTTGTGGCTAGGTTTTCCTTACCCGCCCTGGAAAAGGGTGTGCAATAGGATTGCACAGGGACAGAGGGAGTGGGAACGACTATTTCTCCTTTGGGGGAGGAGGCTTCAGTAGGGATAGCTCAGTTCTACCTGCCTCTGTACCCCCAGGAGCGCAGGCCCTGGAGTGTTACAGCTGCGTGCAGAAAGCCGATGACGGATGCTCTCCGCAGAAGACTAAGACGGTGAAGTGCGCGCCAGGCATGGACGTCTGCACAGAGACCGTAGGGGCGGTAGAGACTAGTGAGTGGGGCCTCCGGGTCCTTGCGTACTCCTTTACGCTCCTCCATCTGGGCCCCGCCTCCTTATGGTCCCGCCCCTCCCTCTGAATTTGGCCACACCCCCTTGAACGCAGCCCCATCCTTCCCTTTCGGCCTGGCGTGGGCCCTTCAACACAACCACGCCATTAGGGCTTAGAGGGATGAGGACGGAGAGTTGCGCATGGGTGGCGTGAACTGGGAGAACCCAGATATGGGACCTCGTCTCCTTCAAGGGCACACCCTATCCATTTCCCCTGGACCACTGAGAACTCCCTACCCACTTCTGTCCCTGCCAGAATCCTCTCCACCCCAGCCTCCCCCATCCAATGGGGCCCTTGGTGATGGAGATCCCTCTAGAGGTCTTCTCCTAAAATCCCTAGGCTGAGGCTCCGCCCCTCTGACCCGCCCCTGTCTGCGGCCACAGCTCCTAGGAGGCCCCACCCGTCTCTGATCCTGTGCCTTTTTTGTCGGTCTCAGTTTCTTCTGATGCTGCTTTCTGCGGTTCCGACTCCCTATGGTCGTGCCCCGTCTTAGCTCCACTCTTGGCCCTCCCGCGTCGATTGTGTCCAGTGTCTATCAGCCTGTCTGTCCCCTCAGACTCCTCTCTTTCAGGTTCCGCCCCTCGGTCTGTTCTTTCCCCTCGGATCGGCTCTTTCTGAGGCCCTCGCCCTCCCACCCTGGCCTATCCTCTGGTGCCGGTCTATTCCAGGCCCCGCCCCTCTGACCCCGCCCCCCTCCCCTCTCCGCAGTCCACGGGCAATTCTCGGTGGCAGTCCGGGGCTGCGGTTCGGGACTCCCCGGCAAGAATGACCGCGGACTGGACCTTTACGGGATTCTGGCCTTCGTCCAGCTGCAGCAGTGCTCCCAGGACCGCTGCAACGCGAAGCTCAACCTCACCTCGCAAGCACTCATCCCCGCAGGTCGGTGGGGGCAGGGCCGCAGGCCCAGGGGCGGAGCCATGTCTGGGCTGAGCGGCTAGGGGCGGTCACAAGGGGAAGGCGGGAGAACTCCGTAGGGGCTGGGGGCGGGGCCACGCCCTGGGGCGGGATTAGAGGCTGAGCTGAGTGTCCGTCGAGGGGCGGAGACGTGGGCTGGAGGGACGCGGAGCAGGGCTGTGCTTCCACCCTCTCGACCCCTTCCTTCCTCCCCGCCCCCCTCGCAGGCAATGAGAGTGACCACGAGCCTAATGGGGCCGAGTGCTACAGCTGCGTGGGGCTGAGCAGCAAGGAGTGCCAGGGTACGGCGCCGCCCGTCGTGAGGTGCTACAACGCCAGCGACCACTTCTACAAGGACTGTTTCGACGGCAACGTCACCTTGACGGCAGGTGAGCGAGCTCGAAGCACCGGGCCTTCACAGGTTGCGGTAGACTTTCTGAGGCCTCATGGGTGGTAGGTAGCCCTTTACCCAAAGGATTCCCCCACCTCAGCGCATTCTGGGAACTGAAGGCCTAAGTTCGTGGCTTGTCCTAGAGCATCATGAGAAATGCAGTCCTATTCCCAGTATAGCACGGGAATAGGAATGCTTTTGTCCTAGAGTTTTTGGGGAAATACAATTTTCATAGAGGCCTGCCAGGTGCAGAATGGGAGGATGTGCGATGGGAAATGTATTTAAGCCTCCGAGCTTCTTCCCAGGCATCGTGGGTAGTGTAGTTGTGACTCCTTAAAACTCAAGGGTTAGTGTCCCCACTTGTCCCAAAGTATTAGGAGAAATGTAGTTCAGCCTCCTGGCCTCTGCTTCAGGGAACCATGGGAGATGTTCAAATTCCATCCTCTGCCAGGTGTATTATGGCAGATGTAATTCTGACTCTAAGACTGAATTTTGGTGGGGGTGGTGTGAGGGGTGGGGAGAGAGAGAGGGAGGCAATGGTCTTCTGCTCTTTCCTCGTGTGAGAGGTGTTGTATCCCAGTTCAAACCTTTCTTCCAAGGCATTGTGGGACTTGTAGTTCATTCTACACATTTTTCCTCTCAAAGTACTATGGGAAATGTGGTCCAAAGACAGTGTGCCAAAGACAGTGGGACAGTGTTTCTCAAAGTGGGGCCCTAATTGAGACTTTGGGATTAATGGATGCAGAGTCCTTCTGTCCCCTGTTTTGGGTCTTCTTGCTCTTGTCTTGCCCCTAAGTTTCATTCTGGCTGTGCCTACCCCCTCCCTCCAACCACGGACCTACCTGTGTCTCCCTCCTGCAGCTAATGTGACTGTATCCTTGCCTGTCCGGGGCTGCGTCCAGGATGAGTCCTGCACCCGGGATTCGGCGACAGGCCCAGGGTTCACGCTCAGCGGCTCCTGCTGCCAGGGGTCCCGCTGTAACTCGGACCTCCGCGACAAGACCTATTTCTCCTCTCGATTCCCGCCCCTTGTCCTGCTGCCCCCTCCTCCGCCCGCCACTCTGGCTGCAACCAACTCTGTCAGTACTTCTGCCCCAGCCCTGTCCTCCACTTCCACCACCGAACCCACCCCAGCCCCGTCCTCCACTTCCACCACCGAACCCACCCCAGCCCCGTCCTCCACTTCCACCTCCAAACCCACCCCAGCCCCAGCCAGCCAGACTTCTCCAAAAGAGGTCGAACCTGAGACCTCCCAGGAGGAGGAATCTACCTCGGCTGGAGATACTAGTGGCCACCAAGACCGTAGAAATATTGGGCAGTACCCCATAACAGATGGGGCCTCTAATAAAGGCTCTGCAGCTCCTCCAGTGGGGTGGGTGGCTCTTCTGTTGGCTGTGGCTGCTGTCACCTTACTATGAACTTCTCTACCTCTTGCCCTACTTCCTTGGCCATGGGTACCCTCCCTTCCCATTACTCCCTCTTCCACCACTGGACTGGGCTGGCCCAGCCCCTGTTCTCCCTAGCTTTTGCTGCACTGGTTTGCGGCTTTGGGACAGAAAGTTACCATTGTATATATCCTGCCAGGGTGTTCCAGCTTTTTGAGGGCAGCAACTGTATCCCCCTCATCTTTGTCTCTCCCTGGTCTTCTCCTGGTGCCTAGGTCAGAGGGAAGTCAGAGCTGTCCCAGGGAAGGTGGGAGAGACAGTGATAAGCTGCGTGTTCGCTTTCTCACAGTCAACCTGGAATAGGAGAGATGGGGTCTGAGGGCTCTGCCTCCTGCCCCTGAATCTTTGTGGGAATCATTTTTTGGCATCTTCCTTGTCTTCTTTTCTAGGCTGTGAGCTCCTCAAGGGCAGGGACCGTGCCTTACGCCTCAGTGTGGTCAATGTCTGGCACATAAGTCTTCAATAAAAGTTTAATTACTTTGTATAGTGTTTTAAAGGAGTTATTTCTACCTCATTGCTGACCTACCTCAGTATAACCTACCTGAGATATTTCTACCTCCTGAAGCTGAGCTAGGGTGGGAATGCCAAGACTGAAATGGAGAAACTGAGATCCGGAGTCGCAGCCCTGGGGGACGTTGGTTTTGAACACTTTTCACCTCCTGAGGTTTAGCTGTGCTTATGGGTGATCCCACCGGTGAGGGGGAGACTGGGTGAGACCATTGAGCAGTGTGGAGGGGTGAATGGTACTCTTAGCAATGTTTGGGAGCAGAGGGAAGCTTTATTTCACAGGTTTGTACACGGTCCTCAGGCCCCACCAACTTTGCCGTCTGTTTTTTTTTCTTTTAAATAAATGTATTTATTTATTTTTATTTAGTTTTGGCTGTGTTCGGTCTTCGTTGCTGCGCGCGGGCTTTCTCTTGTAGCGAACAGGGGCTACTCTTCGCTGAGGTGCACGGGCTTCTCATTGCGGTGGCTTCTCTTGTTGCGGAGCACGGGCTCTAGGCGCGCGGGCTTAAGTAGTCGGGGCACATGGGCTCAGTAGTTGTGGCTCTCAGGCTCTAGAGCGCAGGCTCAGTAGTTGTGGCGCACGGGCTTAGTTGCTCCGCGGCATGTGGCATCTTCCCAGACCAGGGCTGGAACCCATGTCCCCTGCATTGACAGGCGGATTCTTAACCACTGAGCCACAAGGGAAGCCCCTCATCAATCTGGTTTCTTAAGAATCATTGTACAACACGGGGAATATAGCCAGTATTTTTTTAGTAACTGTAAATGGAAAGTAACCTTTAAAAATTGTATATAAAAAAATAGCCTAGCTTAATGATTAAAAAAAAAAAAAGAATCATTCAGTGGCTTGGCCCCGGCATCCCACCTGTCCAGAGGGCTTCTGGGTGCCGCTGTCCACTTTTGCTTCCTCTTGGGGACTTCGGGCCTGAGTCCCACCACCATCTCCTCCAATCAGATGAAAGCTTGGGCGCCCAGGAAGACGCTGGCAGGCTTCGGGACTGCTTGATGGAGGGGAACCAGGTGTGCAGAATGGTGAGATAATAGTAATACTGGGAATTCGCTGGTGGTCCAGTGGTTAGGACTCCCCGGTTTCACTGCTGTGGCCTGGGTTCAATCCCTGGTCCGGGAAATACAATCCTGGAAGCCACGTGGCGTGGCCAAAAAAAAAAAAAAAAAAAAAAAAAAGTAATACTGCTGATATCACCATTCATAGTAGGGAGTAGTGTGAGTTAATAATAAAATAACAGTAAATAGTGATTATAGTAACAAAATAGGGACTAAGAGCCTGAGCAACAAACAGTATCAGTATCAGTAATAGTAACTATAGTTACGGGAATGTTAATCATTTAAAAGAGTCTTACCAGATGACAGGCTTGGGCTAAGGTTGTTTGCACCCATCATTTCACTTAGTTTTCCATTTTAATTCTCAGATGGGATGATTGGGAAAACGCAGGCTCAGAATGGTAAAGTAATTTAACCCACAACAAGTATAAATTTATTATGTGCCAGATACTGGTTTAAATGCTGTACTTGGATTAACATATTTAATCTACACAACCATCCTATGAGTTAAGTATTAATCATCTGCTTTTTATAAAGATGACGAAACCAGGTCCAGAGAGGTTGAGTAACTTGCCTCAGGTCACCCAGCTAATAAGCAACGGAGTCCAAATTGGAACCCAGGCAGACCGGCCTTATAGAGCATGAACAAGAGAGCTGTAACTTTCCCCTCAGCTTAACTAAACTTTAGATAGACTTGTTCCTGCCTCTAAAGCACTGTCCTCCCTCGCACCCTGGTCCCTTACAGAATCCAGATGACCTAACCACAGATGCCCCGGACCTCCTGTTTCTTAGAGCATTTACTTTAGAAAACTTGTCATTGTAAATTCTTCCTCTGCTCTTTCGAGATGTATATAAATCTGTTTAAAAGCCTCTTGCCAGTTTTACAACCCAGGAAATGTATTTCACAAGGACCTGGGAGCTATCTCTTTGAAATATAAACATCAAAGGAGATAGCACCTCTATCTCCCGGTTTCCCTAGAAGCCTGACTTCAATGGGGACCTTTCTCCAAGTTGTGAAACTACCCCTTGTCCAGAAGATGCAGGAAAGTTTCCTTTTCCTTCGGGTGAAGCCAATTCACAAACAGATGACCTACTACCCCCTCAACCCCCACCCCAGTTCTTTTTTTTTTTCTTTTTAATTTATTTATTTAATTTATTTATTTTTGGCTGTGTTGGGTCTTCGTTGCTGTGCATGGGCTTTCTTGTTGTGGTGTGCGGGGGCTGCTCTTCATTGCGCTGCACCGGCTTCTCCTTATGGTGGCTTCTCTTGCTGCGGAGCACGGGCTCTATGTGCACGGGCGTCAGTAGCTGTGGCACGCAGGCTCAGCAGCTGTGGCTCACAGGCTCCAGAGCACAGGCTCAGCAGCCGTGGCGCATGGGCGTAGCTGCTCCGCGTTATATGGGATCCTCCCAGACCAGGGCTCAAACCCGTGTCCCCTGTATTGGCAGGCGAACTTTTAACCATTGCGCCACCAGGGAAGCCCCCCCACCCCAGTTCTTAAAAACCCAAGTGCCTTGTGTTTCAGCTGCGCTGAGTTCAGACTGAGTTCTGCCCTCTGTCTCTTTTTGGAATACTTTGAATGAAGACATCTTGCCTGTCCAACTTGTCCCGTGCAGTTTTTGCTTTGACAAGCAGGACCTGCTAGCCAGCGTGTTAACACTCTCTAGAGGTAACTCTGAGTCTGTTTTTTGCCATCTTGGTGGTGTAAGTCAGAGGACTCCTGGGTTTCTGAGGGTGTTGAGGCTGGAAATCCTCCTTTTATCACCTGTCACTCCGTGCGGGTGTTTTCTCATCTTTGGAGGAAATGCCAAAGTGGGGAAGCAGGTGAGGAAGGATGATATTTTTTGGAAAGTAAAATCAGCTCTTATACAGATACAAGATGAACACGTGTCAAAGATTTCATTTCACTCATTTATGAATGAGGGGACCCATACAATGTTACAGCCAGTTCAAAGGAGAATTCCAAGAACACACACAGGTAGGAGATCAGGAATGCTGAAATAAATTTATGAGCGGATGTTGAACCGGTCAGTAACCAGAGGGAAATAATCAACTGTATTCCGCCAGGCAGGAATCTTTTGCATTGCTCTCAGTTTACCATCGGTTTAGTATTACTATCATAGTTTGACAGTGAAAGGTGGAGCTAACCCAGAAGGGTGTGCTAGACGGGACACACAGTAATCCCTTCTGCCCATTAGAAAGGCTTTTTTACCTCTGGAAGCCCCCGGTGTGTTGTGAAGGCCCCGACACAGTCTGTCCTGACATGGCGCCCTGTGAGTTGGGATAGGGCGTTTTGTAAGCACAGATGAGGGACAGAGGAAAGATGCCTTCCAGGTGTGGGTCCCATATTGCTGGTGGTACCCCTCTCACCTCCACATCCAGGTAGCCGCCTAATGTTGTCCATTTCAGAGAGAGACTATGTTAGTTTCCTCGGGCTGCGGTAGCAAAGTGTCACAAACTGGGTGGCTTAAGACATCAGAAATTTATTGACTCATCGTCTGGGAGGCCGGAAGTCCAAAATCAAGGTGTTGGTAGGGCCGTACTCCTTTCAAGGCCTCTAGGGGAGAACCCTGTCTTGCCGCCTCCAGCTTCTGGCCACCCCAGGCGTTCCTTGCCTTCTCCAATCTCCAGTCTCCGCCTCCTCCTTCACATGGGAGCTCTCCCTGTCTGTGTCCAAATTTCCCTCTTTTTCTGAGGTCATATTAGATATTAGTCATCTTAACTTGATAAAATATGCAAAGACCTTATTGCCAAATAAGGTCACATTCATAGGTCCTGGGGGGTTGGGACTTCAACATACCTTCTTTGAGGGGGGCACAGTTTCCCTTATAACAAAGACACAGTGTAGAATAGAGATTCAGAGGCCAGACTTGTGTCAGACATGTTTAAATCTCAGCTGTGTAACTACTCTATACCTTGTTTTATTCTGAGTGGAACTGAGCTGCGAAATTCTCTCGAAGTCCCAGTTTCCTTATCTCTTAAATGGGGATAATAGTTCCTGCCTTTAGGACTCTTGTGAGACTTGAACTTGTTAATGTAAGCCAAGTACAGTGCCTGGCATATAGTAAGTGCATAGAATATAGGGAACCAGCAAGATAGTACAGTTCATTCAAAAGCTTGTAGATGAGATGAAATATATTTAGTCATGGAAAGAAAGAATGCTGAGATAAGATTGAAAACTGAGATTCAAAATGAATTCTTGTCTTACAGGGTGATAAAACCTTAATTTCTGGGACTTTATTGTTTACTGGGCGGAAATCATTCCATCAGAAAGCATTTGCCTCTTTACCAGACAAAAACCATTTGCAACTTACCAATCTTCTTATCATTTGCAAAGTTAATGTCTAAACTTTATAGAGTTTGGGCCCTAATCAATAATAAATAGTAAGACATATTCCTGTTACCG